CTTTTAACAATAGTTTAACAATAGTCGCATTTCCCTCAAAGGAATTTTACCATTAGTGGCGTTTCCCTTTTTTTGGATTTTGGAAGTACAAACAAAATCTATTTTATGGTTTTCGAAGCTTCGGGATGTGTCGAATGATTTCCTTTTCAAATCGAAATTTCACATTAAAGGTAAAATCTTGGGAACATTCGCGAAAATCATCCAGAGAAATCAAAATTTCGAATTCAGAACGGGAAATACTGTCGAAAACCCTTGTCGCTAACGTCAACGTTACTAAATGGCGGTCGCCATGATCATCTATAATGGTTACTGGGGTTGGATTAAAAATAGTGTTTGCACCAGTTCTCGGTAATGCCTGATTCCGGTGCTAGAAAAACGATGCGGATCTCGGGGTTCGTCCGTACATTGAGAACACTATTTAAAATCCACTGATCGCTGCAATCTGAACTCGCCTTTTCGAATAGTGGGTTACACAAAGTAAATCTACACATCAGCACCATTCAAAATCAGTTGAACAGTGATCATTGAGTGTCGTCATATTACAGCAATTATTTGGTATGCTAACACTATTTGACAACAAATAAGCAAAATATACATCTTTACGCACTGAGGTATCAATTGAAGAATAGGATTTAGCTGCCTTGGTGGGCTATTGAGCGTTGATCATTGTCAAAATAAGCAAATTCTCCCAACAAAATCATAAACGAACTCAACAAACAAGATGGGATTAACGGAATTTCATCTCTGAAAATTGATATTATGTGAAGAATTTGGCCCTGAGGTACAATTCAAGCGAACAAATATGCATAGAAAGAACACTGCGCTCAATGTGAAAGACCTCAAGCATGTCGCTTTCACTCAAAACTAGAAACTCACTCGAAACAATAATACTTTCTACTATTACTGTTTACCTTGGTAGTATTATTTTCTACAAACCTTTCCCAAATGGTCCTTTGTTTATCACAACGGGACACGACACGAAATTGAAGTTATGGTAGGAATGAAGCCATAGTAGAAGTCACTGTAGAACTGTAGAAAGAATATCCTCTCAGTGTGTAAGAATTTGATTCGATTCCGAACATTTATATGTGAACAGAATTGTTTTCGAGCACAGTTACTGATGGATTCAATGTTGACTGATCGAACACAAAGCATTGCTCGATTGCTTGATGATTACACTGATTTTACATAGATCTGATGATTTCATAGATCAGAGCAATGATTAAATGATGTGTTCCGAGGGCATAGGATTCAAATCGACCACCAGCGCATAGTCGTGGTCGATTTGAAGAGTCGTTTGGTGCACGTTTTTGCAAGAAAACGTTGCTGAGTTGAAATGCTCTATGACTAGATATCAAAATTTTCGACACATTCCCCCATGGAAGAGTTGATAGGTGCTTCTCGTTGTGACTAATCCATGAATACAAACATCCTCTCTACATATTTACTATGTGATTCAACATTGTCGGAACAGCAAAAGTTGTTCAGCATCTAGCACGTAGTGGTTTTGAACAATTTGAAACAAATAAAAAGGTACTGATAACATGTTAATAACTTGATCATTTCAACACATAATTTTTAGAAAAACTCTGTTCCGCTGGTAAGGAAGCATTGATATCAAGACCTAGCATTGAATTCTTTTTCATATCTGTATTACAGTATTTATGTTGTTATGGACTGCATGAATACTGTACTCATAGCTATCAGATGCTTTAAGTCGCGTACCTGATCCTAAATTGCACCATGTCCTTGTTGAGAGGATAGAGGTGAAGGAAGTCGCGTAATTTCACTGTCAGATCTTTAATTACAGCATTCATGTAGATGTGGACGATCGAAAGTCAACGCTGGCTCTCTGGTGCGCCTTCGTCACGCGAGGATTGCACAAAAAAGCATGCATTCGCGTTACGATGAAATGATGCTGCAACCTTATCAATATGAACGCATTTCATGCTCTTATCAGTCACCGTGGGCGAATTCAGCTCATCAGAGAATGGTACTAACTGCCAGCAATACGCATTCTTACCACAATACAGTGGTGCTGCTGTGAACGCGAAGCAGAAATTTCTAATTATTTCTATTTCGAAACTGCAACCAAAATTCATTTTACGGTTGTCGAAAATTCGAAGTGTGTCGAATCAATTTGTTTTAAAAGTCAAAGTTTCACGTCATTGAATTATAAAAGTGATCTTACGAGAAATCAATTACAATTTTGTTGATTGGCTCTCGTGACAATTTTGTTACGCAAATGCATATTTCAGTGATCAAACATAGCCCTCCAAACCATAGTTACGGCGAAACTGCAAGCAAAATGGAATGAACATTGGATAAGAAGTGAAATACTTGCGAATTTCGTGTTTGAATGTAACGATACGATTGCATGGAAGCTCCCTAAACTATTTGACTGTTTCAGAGCACTGGCAAAGGCATGGGTCCGTACATGCGAGGAGGCTACATTACAAGCTGGGCTCGATATCGTCAAGGTGGTCAAATTTAGACTAGTTGAAGCTGAATTCGTTTTGATTATTGAGCAGTTGCTTCCAGCGAATTCTAGTACTTCAGTTCTTGTTATATTTCATTCCGTAAAGCGCAAACTGACGCGCGAACTGATTATCCTATATCGCTTTGATGTACCAGAAAAGTCCGTATTGTCACAACAGCTCACGAAATCGAAATATAAGAACGTATGAAACATATCACATGATTTGATTCATCAGAGCAGAAGCGCGGTCTGAAATGTCTTCTCATTAGTCTCATTAGAATTATTTTTTGTTTGTTTGTGAGCATGGAACCCTTTTCGTATTTTTGCGTTCGTTTTAAGTAATTTCTAGTGGGTGAATTAAATTTTACTTTTGGTACTTCATATTCAATGCGTCGAAATTCATCACCTGCGGAAGACAGGATGTCAAACCAACTATTTAGTGATCTCACAATTCTTATATGACGCAGTTGCACTTGTCACGAACTCTTTGCAGGGACCACCCTCTGATCTCGTGTAAAATTATGATCCCATTTATAATACCATCCATCACATTAACTATAATTTTATCTCATTATGGCTTTTTAAAAAAATCTGAAAAAAATAGTAAATGGGCTGGATTTCAGGATAACTTGGTAAATTTAACGCTTTTTAAGGTCGCGGTAGGTTCACACCAGAGGACTACAAACCTGGCCTGTGCACACATCTATTCTACGCGTTTGCTGTGTTCCGTGACGACTACATAGTGACGTTCGAAATTCTATTCTTCAGTTTCGTCTAATTCGACTTGAATCTAAAACATTTGATTCTTCAGTGAACCTATGAAGAGCTGAGTGATTCATATGAACAAGTCTATATCACCATTAAAAATATTAGAAAAACATAGAGGGACTAATAAATGGGGATAATGAAGAAGTAATGTGCTTCAAGGGAAAGTGATCCGAACGATGGAGGTTATGCGAGCGTGAATTGTTTGAAGAACAGAGATCCGGGACTCAAAACATTAATTTCGATTGGCGGATGGTCAGTTGGTGATGTGTTACTCAGGCAAACCTTTAAGAATATGTCAAGTTCGCCGAGAGGAAGAGCCACGTTCATCAATTCCGCGATTCAATTCGTCCGTCGTTATGGTTTCGACGGAATCGATATCGACTGGGAATTTCCTGAGGGTCTTTAAGAATATGTCAAGTTCGAAGAGCACTAGAGCTACGTTCATCAATTCCGCGATTCAATTCGTCCGTCGTTATGGTTCCGATGGAATCGATATCGACTGGGAATATCCTGAGAGTGAAACGGATAAGCACAACTTTTCTGCGTTGCTGAGAGTAAATATTGTTGCAAAATTGAAACGACTTTGTACCAGTACCAAACAACTGAATTTGCCCATGAGTTACCGAAACAATTTGTGTTTCCGAATAATTTAATGCTATCACTGTCTCCTAAGGCGAATCTTTTGAAATCCTGAGCTGATCAGGACGTTTCAACAATAATTTTGTCAACTAATCAACCAGCCCTCTTGAAACTTCACTGACGATTCTTTCATTTAGGAACTGCGCGATGAAGGCGGACCAGGCTTGATTATAACTGCTGCCGTAGCAGCTGTAGAGTGGAGAATTCGAAACGGATACGAGGTCCGCGAAATTGCCAAGTGAATCTTCCAATTAGTCTCCGATTATACAAACTCTTTTCTACCATGCTTATTTACCATACCGGAGGAATTCTTTCACCTTTTCGAACAAACAAATTCTGATCGAGAAAATACCGATAATTAACCATTTTCCTCACACATGATTTTATAGGGTGGCAACCATTTTGAACTATAAAGTATAATCTTCTTGAATTTTTTTCCCAATCCACACGATAATCTGCGTCATGTAGACAGCATTTCCCTCCTACAGGCATTTGGATTTTGTGATGGTGATGTCGTACGATTTCCACGGTGTGTGGGAACAAAGAACTGGTTTCAACAGTCCGCTATACTCCCAAGACGGATTGAGCGTTGTAATATAATTTTGTACCTGCTTTTTCCCGATAATAAATTTTTAAGGATTTCCATGAATGGACAACGAGAAATAATCATTCAATTTAGCATGACGCAGCTACATTCATGGCATCTCAAGGCATGCCCCGCTCTAAGATTGTTATCGGTATACCATCGTACGGTCGTGGATGGACTCTCTCGAATTCATCCAACGCGGGTTTGGGTGCTGCTGCAAAGGGTCCGTCCAGAGCGGGAACATACACTCGCAAAGAAGGTCTAGCCTCTTACTACGAGGTATGCTTGAATATTAACTGAATGAATTCTTTAACAATCGACTTTTCGGCATCCCGTAGAACGTATATTTGAATAGATACCAGAATATTTGACTTATTGTTTGAATGGATGAAAACAACGATGAAATCTTACTGAGTAATTACGAAACTGCACAGATACGCGACATGTTGGCGAGTGGAGCGCGGAGACATTGGGATGATGAACAGCGAGTACCATACTTAGTGCAGGGCGATCAGTGGTTCGGTTATGACGATGAGGAATCAGTCACCGAGAAGGTCAGCTCGAATATCCATGTCGTATGCAACAATATGCAGCAGCCTTTTGAAGACGTCTCTAACTACATTCCTTGATGACTCTACGAAAAAACAGCAACGGTCTATTTCACAATTTCTCCTCATCCCTTCAGATGCAATACATCAAAAGGCATGGTTACGGTGGTGCGTTTGTTTGGACTCTTGATTTTGACGACTTCAACGGGCAGTCGTCCGGTGGCAGGCGCTACCCGATCATGTCAACAATTGCCAAAGAACTCAGAGGTAGCGTTTTTCTCGTAATATATCTTNTATTGTCGAAGGGAATGGAGAGAACACCTCAATGCTCAGCTATTAGTAAATTGAACAGGCTAATTTCTGCGGGAACGTGAAATCTCCTGGATCAATCCTTTCCGTCTGGCAGATATTTCAGTTAGCATCAGTTTACGGAACATAAGAGATAAACCACTTCATTATCTCATCAATGCTAACAGTAGTGTTTCAGGGTAATTCGAGTCGTCTCATTGCTAAATGAAGAATGCTCGTCACTTATATTCACATTAATTGAGATTGTTCTCTTTCAAATCTGCGATATTTCATGCTGCTAATATAAAATTTGATGCAATGTTTTATAAGTTTCAGCAATAAAATTTACTCGACATGAGACGCGATCATTGACTAACTAATTTAACATTTTTTTTAGTTCACATTTTGTGTGGAGGCATTTAAAGTGATCACTTCTTAATTGATTAGTATCATAACTTAAAATACATGTAAAATGCATAAAAATGCATTTTACATACCATCAGTGTGACTGTTCCGTGCGTTTC